ATGCACCACCCCAATATAAACATTTGATTGCAATCCATGCTGGAAAACCAAAAGGCGGAATTACTGAGTGTTTAAAGGTAGATCCTGACAAGGTAAGACGCCTTAGCTTGAGCGAAGAACAACTTGAAAAGGCAGCAGAAAAATATGCGAAACAGATTGTGAGGTAATCCCATGGATTATGGTCATATAGTTTTGATTATCTTTGAAAATAACAACTGCCGTCTGTCATATCAGAATGATTCCTGTTAATCATGGTGTGATGCAGGTTTACTCAGCAGAATTTGCTGAGAATTTACCCAAAAGGAACCAGAGTTACTTCATCAAATTACAACCCGTTCGTTGGCTGGAGCCATGGTGCTCAAATGGTGGCTTTCAATATGCAGGTCTCTTCTTTTGTTAAATCACCAATTTCGTTTCGAAAAGTAGAAAAAGTTTTCATTATTCTGGAGATGATATGCTCCATCATTTAAAAGGACATCAACCTTATTCCTCACCTAATTCTACTATGAATTTCCCATGTACAGGGATATGGAAGATCATTGTGGCTGATGCAAGGAATGTTTAGAGCCAATGGCGGATGTGGATACATAAAAAAACCTGATATTCTGCTGAAAGGTGGCTCGGATGATGACATCTTTGACCCAAAAGCTACTCTACCTGTAAAAACAACACTGAGGGTGAGATATCTGATTCTCTGTTTGGTCTTTCTGTTGCCAATGCAAATCCGTTGAAACTTATTCTTTTCCTTATCTTTAGGTAACTATATACATGGGAGAAGGCTGGTACTTTGATTTCCGCCACACCCACTTTGATCAATATTCACCGCCTGACTTCTACACAAGGGTAAATGAAATTCTCTTAAAACCCCACACTAGTAATGCTTTGCAGTAGAACTGTTTCTCGTCTCTTAGATTGCAAATGAAAAGGTCATACAAATTTGAGCGTTCATACATTTTTTCAGGTTGGGATAGCTGGAGTTCCAGTGGATACAGTAATGAAGAAGACGAAGACATTGGAGGACAACTGGGTACCAGCTTGGGATGAGGTTTTTGAGTTCCCACTAACCGTCCCAGAGCTGGCTCTACTGCGATTAGAAGTGCATGAGTATGACATGTCAGAGAAGGATGATTTTGGAGGACAGACATGCTTGCCGGTTTGGGAGCTACAGGAAGGAATAAGAGCATTTCCTTTACATAGCCGCAAAGGCGAGAAGTACAAATCTGTGAAGCTTCTCGTGAAGTGTGAGTTTGTGTGACAATCGAGATACGATATTGGGTAAAGCACTTTAAACCGGTCGGGTTTAAGGACCATGAGTTTGTGAATTTCGGTTGGGAGGATTTGGTGTGTGTTTATGTGAGAGAGAATGATTGCTTGCTTGA